AATCGACTGTTTGGGACATCTGGAAAATCGATTGTTCGGAGAAGAAAAGGTGAACGCTACCATGAGTCCTGTGACGTGCCAACAGTGAAGCATCCTGAGACCATCCATGAATGGGGTTGCTTTTCAACCAAGGGAGTGGGCTCTCCTCTCATATTTCTGCCCAAAAACACTGCTATGAATAAAGAATGGTATCAAAACGTCCTGCATGAGCGACTTCTTCTAATGATTCATGTGCAATTTGGTGATGAGCCGTGCATTTTCCAGCATGATGGAGCACCATGTCACAAAGCAAGAGTGATAAAGAAGTGGCTCAAAGATCATTACATTGAAATTTTGGATCCGTGGCCAGGCAACTACTGCCAAAACTTTTGGCCATGATTGTACAGAACTGCCATGACTGATTATAATGCTCAATACATTTAGAATCCCTTGTGATACCTGACATTTAAGACTCAATGACATGGATTGATGAGCACAATTTTCTTTATTGAAGATGCTGACAACATTTTTTTTTTAAGCTGTAGTTTACATCCCTTTCATATAAAATCTCACTTTACAGAGTGTACAATGGACAGAAGCAATGACACATTTAAAAAATCAATTTGATGGTTGGCCTTTTACTTGAACAACATTTATAATTTAATTAAAAATATTATACAATTACATTTAATTTAAATCTTATGTATACATTACATTTAATTAAAACAATATAATAATTTTACTAAATATTATCTAAAATATATATTTTTTTAAATGTTTATAATTGAACTCCCTAAAATGTATACTTGTTTATTATATAGTTTTATATTATGTTTCATCATATTATATATAAAAAAATATATTTTTTAAATAAATATTTATGAAAGTGGGGGTTGTTTTTTTCTGGTTAAAAAAAAGGCTATTCATTTTTAATGCGTCTATCTAAAAGTTTGTTTTGTCAACATGTTTAAGAATACACCAGTATATTAGATGACCTCAACACTAACAGACATGAACCAAAACTCCAAAGTTTTGACTTTATGGATTCTGTAGCACTGCTGTATACTGCTATATGAGTTCAACACATAGTCATAGTTTTTCTCTTTGCCCTTACTATAGAAATCCTGGATTTTGGGTACCCCCAGAACTCTGAGACCGGAGCATTGAAGACCTTCATTACTCAACAGGGTATTAAGAGCCAGGTGCGTTCTGAATGAAACACCAGCATTTGGTCCATTAGGTTTTCTAATATGCGAATGCTTTATGAAAATGGACAGTTAATGTACCTATAATAGAAGTGTTGAAATCTGATTTTATGGAGCACAGCCTTTGTTGAAACATGTGGAAACTGAGCTGTGTGTTAATGTTTCTGACACCTTACTCTTCACATCACTGCTTACCACGTGCCTGATGACCTGTAACTCACTGCTTCCAGCATCATGTAAGCACAGCTGTACTTATACAGTCATAGAGTGCTGTAGTGCTGATGTATTTTTGTAGGCCAGTCTGGAAGTTATCATCCCTCGACAAAGACCCAATAGGATTTTCCCGTTGACTTTTGATGTTTTAGACTCATTGCAGAAAATGAGCAGCTGACCAAAAAGGATTTATGATTCTTACATGTTTTGGTCATCATGATAATCTTCATGATAGTCTTCAAAGACCTCATTTCAGGAATTTAACCAAAAACCCTCAAGATAAATTGACCTCAAGACATTTTAACTGGACGTGCTAAAATGTTAAAGGGGTCATATGATGCGATTTCATGTTTTCCTTTCTCTTTGGAGTGTTACAAGCTGTTCTTACATATATAAGATCCGTAAAGTCGCAAAGATTAAAGTCTCAAACCCAAAGAGGTATTCTTTCTAAAAGTTAAGACTCATCCATGCCTTCCTAAAATGCCTCATTCAAACACGCCCCCACAAATCTACGTCACTGTGTGGGAAGATTTGCATAACACCGCCCAAATGTATACACAAAGAAAGAAGGCGTAACTTTTTTTTCTCGCTGTAGTATTGTTGCCGCTGCCGCCGCCATGTCGTAGAGATGCTGTGTTTCCAAATATGGCAAGGGGCTTAACATTTCCATCACACGCTTGAGTTGTCCAATCACAACGCACTGGATAGCTGGCCAATCGGAGCACACCGCGCTTTTCAGAACAATGAGCTTTGTAAAAAAATCGATGGGATTTAGAAAGGTGGGGCAGAGAGGAGCAAAAGTAATGTATGATATGTGGAAAATGTTTTTTTTTTTTTTTTACCTTAAACCACCAAATACACAAAATAATGTGCTTTTTTTGCAATGTCATATGACCCCTTTAACTCGTTGGCCTACAAATACAGCATCCCTAAAGCACTCTATACCTCACTTTTATATTTTCACAAAGCTTTTTAACTTGGAATACAAAATATCTGGCTTGTTGTTTGGCAGTGCTCATGTTTCTCTCACACTCTACACTTTGCGTTCTTCTCAGACGAAAGAGGAGCAGTCTCAGATTACCAGTCAGGTCACCGGACAGATCGGCTGGAGACGTGAGGGCATCAAATATCGCCGCAACGAACTCTTCCTGGATGTACTGGAAAGTGTGAACTTGCTGATGTCACCGCAGGGTGAGCCTTCCTGCCCTCTACTGGCTGAGAGTTACAGTACTGCATGGTGAATTTTACCTGCATTCATTACTTTGTATTGAAACTTCATGTAGTGGTGTTTTCTGTGCTTCTGTGTGTGTGCAGGTCAGGTGTTGAGTGCACATGTCTCAGGGCGTGTGGTGATGAAGAGCTACCTAAGCGGAATGCCAGAGTGCAAGTTCGGCATGAATGACAAGATTGTCATCGATAAGCAGGGCAAAGGTGGCACGACTGATGACTCAGGCAAAAGGTGAGTTGGATGACACTAAAATGGAAATGTGAGAGCCACTGTGGTGAGTAAACCATTGAACATTGTTTATACTTGTTACTAATTTACTAATTGCCATTTAATGACTCCTCATAAGGCCAAATTAAAGTGTTTTATTTAACTTAACACCTTCACAAGTGCTGTCAAACGATTAACGCATCCAAAATAAAAGTGTTTGTTTACATATTACATGTATGTGTGCTGTGTATATTTATTATGTATATATAAATACACACACGCGTCTATATATTTCATAAAAATGTTATGTTTATATATTTAATAAATGTATTTATAATTAAATTATATGAATATATATATACATGTAAATATTTTCAAAATATATACTGTATGTGTGTGTATTTATATATACATAAATATACACAGAGCACACATATATTATGCAAACAAAAACTTTTATTTTGTATGCGATTAATCGTTTGACAGCACTAATTTCGCGTCTATATATTTCATAAAAATGTTATGTTCATATATTTAATAAATGTATTTATAATTAAATTATATGAATATATATATACATGTAAATATTTTCAAAATATATACTGTATGTGTGTGTATTTATATATACATAAATATACACAGAGCACACATATATTATGCAAACAAAAACTTTTATTTTGTATGCGATTAATCGTTTGACAGCACTAATTTTATGAAATGGAAAATCAAAATGACATTGATATTTACACATATAAGATGTTACTCTACATTAAAAAAATAATGCAAGTTTCATACCTCAAAGCAAACTCCACAGTTTAAAATGAGTTTTCTGAAACGGCAGGAATTTAAATTACTCCGTTTGTGATGTCGTGATTTTCCTCTACATGACCTCTAACATGCATATGTAAATCAAGGAAGTTTGCTCTTGGCAACTCATGTCTGTGCATTAATCACTGATTCATTTCAGTCTGACTGTGGTTCGAACATACAGTATATGACTATATTATAGCGCTGGCCATCTTGAGCATCAAAATACACGTCACACATGCTGTGCGTGAATACAATGATGTTTGGCAGTCAGAGCAGTAGCTGTTTACATGTTTTTGAAAGAGGTAACTCCACTTGAAATGATGTGTTTGTGACAGTGAAAGATTGTATGGAATATTATAATTTTTTACAAATATTTAAACTTTTTTTTTTTTTAAAGCAAAAACTTTGATAACTGCATATGCTAACTTCCAGAAACATAATATAAAGATCTGAAAATGCATTTTATGACCCCTTTAAATTTAATTTAGCATCAGCATTTGTGTCACTATCTCACAAACCCCCTGCAGTTCCATCACAAACCCCTAGAGGTTCACAAACCCACAGTTGAGAACCTGAATTAAAAAAAAAAAAATGGAATTGACGAGTCGCATATTAGTGACACAGTTGATCATAGTTTTGAATCTCTCCCCTCCAACCCCCTGTCATATAACTTCTCACAATAAAGTCAATTCCTGATGAATTAAAGGGTTAGTTCACCCAAAAATGAAAATTAGCCCATAAATTACTCGCCCTCAAGGCATCCTAGGTGTATATGACTTTCTTCTTTCAGACGAATCCAGTCAGAGTTATATTAAAAATTAGCTTTGATCTTCCAAGCTGTTTAATGAAAGTCAGCGGGTGTTGCAGTGCATCAGTTCAAAAGAAGTGAAATAAAGCGCATCCATCCATAATAAAAAGTGCCTCACACGGCTCCGGGGGGTGAACAAAGGCCTCCTGTAGTGAATCGATGGGTTTTTGTAAGAAAAATAACTATATTTAAAACATAATAATCACTTTAATCTAGCTTGCGCTCACTGTTGTAAACGGAAGCAGCTCCGGGCGGATGACGTAGGACGTCGGCGTTGCGCATGCACCGCTCAGAACGAGGATTTGTAACAATGAATGTCGGAGGATTTCGATATAAGCCAAGAGGAGACTGGTTTTCCTTTGCTAAAGTAAGGAAACTTTGAAGAAGAAAGTCATATACGCCTAGGATGGCTTGAGGGTGAGTAAATTTTTGGTTGAACTATCCATTTAAGTCCTGTTGAATGTTCTAATTCACTTAGAAAATCCATCAAAAATCCATCATGTTAAAGTAAAATGGGTTATAAATGCCAGCTCACAGTGACTTTAAAAACTACATTTTTTTTGTTCTAAATTTTTTGTTTTGATTTGTATAACATCCCCCTCGGCTCAGAATGTAAGGCCTTATGAGCAGAACAGTTGGACACAATATTACAGGAAGTCTCACATGGAGCGAATTCATTCCTCCTGGCTTTTTTTTGTGTTCTCTAACATCCCGTCTTGCAGTCTCACTCTCCCCCTGTTGCCTTTTGTGCTAGTAGGTATATGTATCTTTACAGAGGAATGTTTGATTCTGAGGTGCCGTTGGTTTAGCCCTTTATTTTTTCCTGTTGATTTGTGTACCTCTCTCCTCTCTCCCGCTGGACTTCAGTGAGTTGGGGGGCAGGTAGCGTAACTCTCACTCCTGACGTCACCTGATCTATCACCTTCACTCCGTCCTGTCTTAGCCGTTTGTCAGCTGTCTTCGTGTCATGCCATCAAACGTCTCAATAAAGATGATCTTTTTGCATGGGATGACACTGCCATTGAGGTGTTTAGCAGCTCTAGGTAAAGGATCGTAGCGTTTTCTTCAGTTCATTTGTCTCGTCTCATACAAACAGTCTTTCCTCTGTCTTGTTTTACTCAAAAGCCTCTTACCTGAATGAACTGATAGCCATTCTCATTAGAGTCTGTGTTAAAGTTATCTTGTTGTGACCCCTCAAACGCCTGCCCCCCTCGCCTCTGACCACAACATAACGCTATTTATTTTAATCTAGTATCAGCAAATCACAACCCTCTTACAGACCTTCCCGTGCAGTTTTGTTGTGGTCACAGTGCTAGAAACTAACATCCTTCCCAACATAATGACAGTATAACAGAATGTTATTGTGCGAGGTAGGCGGTATGACCACAATCTTGCATAATATAATAATTGTATTTATTGCAATATGCTCTACCATTCTAAAGTTTGTAGTCAGTATGATTTTAAAAGAAATTAATATTTTTATTTAGCAAGGATGCATTAATTTGATAAAAAAGTGGCAATAAAGGCATTTATAATGTTACATAAAATTTCTGTTTCAAATAAATGATGTTCTTTTGAACTTTATATTCATCAAATTAATCTTCAAAAATGTATCACAGCCTGTTTTCAATATTGATCATAAGAAAAGTTTCTTAAGCTGCAAAACAACATATTAACATGATTTCTGAAGGATAATGTGACACTGAAGACTAAAGTAATGATGCTGAAAATTCAGTTTTGCATCACAGGAATAAATTACATTTTATAATATATTAAAAAATTAATGAGATACTGTAAACTGTAATAATATTTCACAATATTACTACATTTTTGGTCAAATAAATACAGCCTTGGTGAACACGAGACTTCTTGCAAAACAATTAAAAAATTGCCGACAACAAAACTTTTGAACAGAAGTGCAGTTATTGTTGATGGAAATTAAATAAAAATGGTTTAGATATAAATGAGATGTTTTGGATAATTGACTGAATGAAAGTTACATAATCTAATTTATTTTCTCCTTATTTGGAACTTGGACATCTAGTCCAAAATAATTTTGTAACAAATGAATATGTCACGTATTATTATGCAACACAAGTAGAAATTTCACTAAATTGTAATTGAATAAGCAACATTCACAGCTGTTGTAAAATAGCTATTAAACTTCACATATCAGTTAAAATCTTAATGCGTCAAGTTGCGAGGTTGCTTGACATTTGTAAACAATGTAAAACCTGCTGTGTGTTGTGCCTAACAACAGTCTTTCCTTTCCTTGTTCAGGACACATCAAGCTTTGTATTTTCGCATCAATTCATCTTTCTTCATCACTCCCATGTGTAAATGCATAAAAAGCCCTTCCCACCGATCTATCAATCTAAATATGTCCTGCGTTATATATCACAATCTTTACCAGTTGACTATTTTCTGCCGTCACACAGTATATACCGTCATGCCGCCCACCTCTGATGAGTAATGTGTGTTTGGTCTCTCTGCAGTCTCTGCTCATGCTTCATTGTTTCCTCATCATTTCTCTCCTCTGTGTCCCCTGCTGCAGTGGGAAACAGTCCATTGCGATCGATGACTGCACGTTCCACCAGTGTGTCCGTCTCAGCAAGTTTGACTCGGAGCGCAGTATTAGCTTCATCCCTCCCGATGGAGAGTATGAGCTTATGAGGTCAGTGAAGAGCATGTGTGTGACTGCATATGAGTGTGTCACACAGTACAATGACAGTGTCCTTGTCTCAGGTACCGTACCACTAAAGACATCATCCTCCCCTTCCGCGTCATCCCATTGGTCCGTGAGGTGGGCCGCACCAAGCTGGAGGTAAAGGTGGTGATCAAGTCCAACTTCAAGCCCTCCCTGCTGGCACAGAAGATAGAGGTGAGACTGACAGCAGAAATAACATTCATTATTCTCAAATTGCCTTATTGGTTGTATATATTGAAGTGTAAATTGTGTGTTTCTCTACAGGTTCACATTCCTACTCCACTCAACACCAGTGGGGTTCAAGTTATCTGTATGAAGGGAAAAGCCAAGTACAAAGCCAGTGAGAACGCCATTGTTTGGAAGTACGGCTTGATTTTACTGTGCAAGTTCATTTTCTTCATTTGCGGTTTCATCTGCCATTCGCACATTTCCTTCAAAATGTTCAGATTCAAATCGCACTGTTCAGGTTTTTACCCTTCTACTAGGGAATGAGGATTTCATAGAACAAAATTTGCTTCATTCTTTTTCAAGACTATTATTAACTTATGCTCCCGCTCTCATGGAAAACCTGGGAATAGCAGGGTTTACGTTTGTAATTTCAAGGACCGTTTGTTTAAAACTACAGAGTTTTTATTTTATTTTGTCTATCCATGCATCCATCCAAATACTTTATCCATTCATCCATTCACCCATCCAAATACTTCATCCATCCATTCATTCATCCATCCAAATACTCCATCCATCCATCCACCCATCCAAATACTTCATCCATCCATTCATTCATCCATCCATCCCATCCAAATACTTCATCCATCCAAATACTCCACCCATCAATACAAATACCTCATCCATCCATCCATCCATCGGATCCAAGTACTTTATCCATTCATCCACCCATCCAAATACATTATACATCCATCCATCCATCTAAATACTCCACCCATCAATGCAAATACCTCATCCATCCATCCAAATACGTTATACACCCATCCATCCATCCATTCATCCAAGTACTTCATCCATCCATTCATCCACCCATCAATATAAAATACGTCTGTCTGTCCAAATACTCACTTGAACATTTAAATATCAGGATGTTTTTGCGTTTTTGGGGATAATTTTACAATAATAAATATACTGTAAATTCCAAGGATTGGAACTTAACATACAAATAAAAATCTTTCTCAGAATTCTATATAAAGTTGAGATGAAACGGAAGTAGAATTTTTTTTCAATATTGTGCTGTTGGTCATTTTTTTGTAGGATCAAGCGAATGGCTGGTATGAAGGAATCTCAGATCAGTGCCGAGATTGAGCTGCTACCCACTAATGACAAAAAGAAGTGGGCTCGCCCACCCATCTCCATGAACTTTGAGGTCAGCCTGAATCCCTGAAGCCCCCCAGCCTCTTTCACACATGTAGACATTGGCTTCTTCTTTAGGATGTTCTGCAGTTTTGTTTTTTTTTTCAGCATGGTCTCTAAAACTGGACGGATATTTTTAATGTTCTTTTAAAGTGGCATGCCATTTATGCTGATACAGTAGTATACCAGGTTGTTTTGAGATTTTCTCAGATGCTTGGTTTTCTAATGTAATCTGTTTATTGACGCTAAGGGTAATTTTTCTTTTGTTTTTCAGGTACCATTTGCTCCGTCAGGACTGAAAGTGCGCTACCTGAAGGTCTTCGAGCCAAAGCTCAATTACAGCGATCACGATGTCATCAAATGGGTGCGTTACATTGGCCGCAGCGGCATCTATGAGACCCGCTGCTAACAGCAGCCCTTCTGTGAGGAGGGGGGAGGAGACGCAGACAAATAAATGGGCGGGATGAACAGAGGACGAAGAGAATGGAGTTATTCATTGTCTCGCTCTCCCCTCCCTTCCTCAACTTTTTATACGGGGCTCTGTTCACACCGAAAACATCAACAAAGGGAAACCCAAAAAGAACATCCAAAACATCATGAATTCAAACAAGTGTGCCCTTCAGAATAAAACACATAGTTTATCTGCAATGATGGGAATTATGTTTATCCTCATGAACTCCCTCCAGAATTTCACTTGCTATGAGATGATGAGATGTAAACCCCCACTCGTTTCTCCTTTCTAATTCTTCCACAACATGCATTCCAGACCCCCAGTCCCCATTGAATTCCAGCTAATTTGAGGCTCGGGCCCCTTTTCAAGCCGGTGATTAGCGCTGAACCTGTGTTCCTGCTCACAGGCGGTATCAGTGTGGCCATTTCTGGCTCCTAAATCCCTATCTGGTAACCTGGACCCTGAAAACATACATACCCTTCATGCTTCGTTTTTGTAGTGGTCCCTCCCAAGAGTATTAGTTAGGTATCGTCCACATTCTTGTTCTCAGTGAATTAGTGTAAACGTTAAGCCAGTGGCCCCACAATGTTCTTGAGCGTAACTTTTCAGTGTCCATCCAAAGTTTTATGTACGCTGATGTTACCATTTGGAATTTGTCTTAATTGTTTTGTTGTCTCCGTATAAAAGAATTTCTCAATGTGACCAAAATGAGGTGCGAGGACATTTGAATTAAAGCAACAAATTGTACTAATGCTTAAGTCCAGCTGTCTGTGTGCATATATGCTACTATAAACACTGTAACAAAACCATCACACCGATTTAGGCGAGTTTCAGCTTTCATTTGGTGTCATATAGTGACTGGTGCGCATGTGTGTGAGTCAGGGGTCCCCAACATCTCTCAGGGACTTTACATTTGTGCGCTTAACCTTCTTTCCGTGTCACACTTTAACTTTCATCATCATTCACCACTTTGTTTACGTGACTGAATTTTACCGGTTGAGTTTGTCAAGTGCACTGAGTCAGCCTTTGCATCAGCGAAATCTCTCCCTGCATTTCAGCACTTCTCCTGGGATTAGTTTGAAGGCAAATGCAACTTCAAAAAGACGCATTTCACTATACGCATAAGAGGGGCTAGAATATTAGGGAGTCCCATTTCTAAACCTCTTTCCTTAGTCCCGATCTAAGGCAGGAGATTTTGGAGATGTCAAAACATATAAGCCATGTCTGCCTTTAAGGTCTTGAACACCGTGCTTGCTCCTTTCATGTGCATATAAACTCTCCACTCTGCGGAAGGCACTGGAGGATTTATCTTAATGCGAAGGCATTTTGGCAGCAGAGACGGAAGCACAGTTTAGTGATGAGATCACTGTCGACTACTACGCTCGTGCTATCTACGTTACGTTTCAGGCAACACTACAAACTCGACCCTGCAGATCTAAGTGTGCATCTTCTTGAACACTTGTGTCATAACACTTACACCGTCTGACCTCAGTGTGTTTCAGCTCTGAGAGATGATGAGGCAACTTTTGCAGTGTATCGTCTTCATTTGGTAACTTTGTGACTGTTGTCTTAATCCTAATAAAATGTGTAATCAGTTACTCTTAATGGAGTTGGTGTTTTTGTTTCATATTATATAAATATTGTATGCCATTTTAAAGGTTGTATCTTTAAGGATCTAAATCTATTGAATAACTGACAAATTAGGGAAAAACTAACCATTCCAAACAAGCGTTTGGAAGTTTTATCTGGACTCTTCGTTTACTATGAGCAGAACTCTTTTTAAATTTAATGTGGATTTTTTTCTGGATTGGTTTATATTGGCTGCAGTGTACTGTAATCCTCTAGATGGAAGCATTTAATCACACTGGCCAAAATACTGCATACACGAACACAAGAATGTGTAGAACCTACTGAATTATGGGTGTTCATCTGTGGAGAAAAAAGAAATGACGTGGATACTACGCCAAACCCTCTGCATGAGTGAGACTTCTATCTGAAAAGCCTTTTTGCTTCATTGTTCAATGGCTTTGTTTAGCACAAAAAGTAAGGGAGCTTCAGTCAAACATATCAAGAGCTCTGCATAACACCAATGGCAGAACAAACTATTCAAAATGAACCATGTGAAGCTGTAAAGTTTGTCGTGGGCAAAGTTACTTTTAAAAATAATGCATTACACTATTGCGTTACTCCCTAAAAAAGTAACTGCATTACTTGGTTACTTTTTATGGAAAGTAATGTGTTCCATTACTTTTCTGTTCCTTTTTCTCATCTAGGCTGGGCTTGCTTGTTTGTTTTTAATAATAAAAAAAGTAATAGTTTTTTAAAAATGTAAAAGCCTTTTCACACCATATGTGGAACAAATAAGCCTCAGGCTGAAGGAAATGTAAATTCATGTCTGTAGAGGGCGCAGCTCAAACCTTTCAACAGGATGGAGAAAAAAGTTCAACACTCTTCAGTATAAGAATTGGATCATCCAAGGTCAGCAGCAAAGACGGGTAAAATACATAAAGGATATTTGTGTTAACGTCTAATTATTGCGGGTTTGAGTTCCTCATTCTGAGGAATACTGAATCTGTTTTTGTGCAAGTGAGAAGTGTAAATGCATGTTCACATTGAACGTAGAACTACAGTAACATCATGTTCACACAGCACACACGCCTCTGCATTTACTCCCGATTTCTCTCAACATGGGGACAGGAGAGCTGTCAGTCAGTAAATGGGAAAAACTGGCATTATTTGAAAGTAACTCCGATATCTTCTCGTATATTAAAAGGTAATGTGTTACTTGGAAAAAAAGTAATCTGATTACATAATTTGCGTTACTTGTAATCCGTCAACACTGTCACTCATTTTCATGTCGTTCCAAACCTGTATGACTATCTCTCTTCTGTGGAACACTAAATAAGATGCTTTGAGAAAGAAAGAAAAAAAAAGTTTTTTGGAGGTCAAAACTGTTTGGTTACCAACATTCTTCGAAATATCTTCTTTTGTGTTTCACAGAAGAAAAAAATGCATGCAGGTTTGGAATTACACAAGTTTTCATTTTTTGGATGAACTATTCCTTTTATTTATTCAGTGGTTGGCAATTGAGAAGATCATGTGCTCTTGGTATTGCTGCATAGAATGGCTCTACAAAATACAAGATTAATCTCTGTTTAAATTTGATATACATTTTCCTTTTTTTCTTGAGTTTTATTGCTTTGACATAAGCCACACAGAAGAAAAATTCAGTAAATGAGACAATTAGGAATGCACACAAGCACTATTTGTGGGTTCGGCTGGTTGCCGGTGGTCTGATTTTGCACCACTGTTATAGCTGGTTGGGAAAAGTTTGGAGCTATTTTCCTGCGGCAGGGATGGGCGGGTGGGGTTTGTGTGGGAAGTCACTCATTAGCGCAAGTATTTAGGCTGACGTCATGGCCAATCATTAAGTGGGTGCAGGAGCCAGAGGACCTACTGATGGATCGATGGCCAATTAAACTCTCATCTCTCAGGGCCCCTGAAAGAGAATCTCCTGTCCCGCTAGTCTTTTTCTCCTCCGTCCTTCCGTCTCCCTCTCCCTTTCTTTTTTGCTCTTTCCCAGAGTGAGTGGCAGGGAAGGGTCAAGCAGCCCCCGGTTCCGCAGTCACCTGGAGTGCAGCCAAAGCCTGGGCCTCCAGCCAAATTCAAAACCACTCGCAAAAGATATGAAGCTGCCTTTCAGGTGCCCTTCTCCAAATCCATGTTTCTCTCTGCTTCAGGAATTCCATACTTTATGTTAATGCAGCAGTGTTATTGCTATTCCAATGACACTACTGACTGACACCCAAGCGTCGGCTCGCTGAATAGTGACACGATTGGCTTCTGTAGAGCTGAACTCAACTGGTTTTGTAATTGATTAACTTTGCAACATTGAGATGAATAATGACACTATGAGCTGCTTTACAGCTCAAACGGAGTTGGTTTACAACATTGACACTAATTGTCCTGTTTTCTTAATGTGTAGCTGCTTTTAAAACAATCTGTATTGTTGTGTAAAGCGCTGTATAAATGAATGACTTGACCTTGGCATTGTGCTTATGTATATGTGTAAGCAGTCAATATTAGATTAGCCATTTGCGACTGAATGGGTGCCCAGTCTTTGTTTGGAGTACAAGACTGACTTAATAAATGCATCGTCTTTTAGACGTCAACAAAAAAAAATGCATCATGAATGTGAAGCCAACAGCATTGAACAAGCCTGAACATTGACCCTGCAGGTCAAAGAAGATATCCATCATAAGTGACTGACTTCCTCTCAGAGACGCTGACTTCTCTCCATAGTGATGTGAGAGTTAAAGTAAAGCACTGGCTGTTCCTGAACCCTCCGAAGGTCAACCAAACTAATGAGGTTAGGGCTAGAAACTGAGGGCCGTTTGGCCATGAATGCCATGTGTTATGCCAAAATCTGCAATTCTCCACAATGGATTTTTAATGAGCGCGGCTTATGCATGCTTAATTTGTTGCCCTTTCAAAATGCTCCCTTGCATGTTGACTTGCGCTTCGAGTGTGATATCACTGAAACTGCAGAAACAAGGACTCTACCTTTTGGAGTTGAAAGTGAGGCAAGCTTTTAAACTTTCAATGTTTTTCTACTGTTTTGTAGAGCGTAACCAAGGTTTTTTTTTTTGTTTTTTGTTTTTTTTTGCAGGAACCTGTTGTGATGTACTGGAGGTGTTGTTTAGCCTGCGGTGAAATCCAGATATACATTCATATCTGTTGGGAAAATGAAGAGGAATTCGCAGTAGTTTTTTGTTGTTGTTGTTGTTGTTGCCCAAAATACTTTATTTTCCCTAGATCTGAATTTTGCCAAACAAATAGCCAGCTAAAATGATTTTATTTTATATTTATGATTTTTATTTTAGATTTTTGAAAAGATACATTTTGGTCGCTTTGTGTTTCCGCCGACACGCCACGCCCCCCCAAAAAACACGTTGAAGACGCTGACGTTGTGACGTCACTCAGGTGACGCGACCTGAATATCAGTGTTCCAGAATTTTGAAAATGTATGTTACCTATATTTCAGGTCAGTGTGAGGGAAAAAAATGTGTTTTTATGTTAAAATTTGCTTTTATGTTTTTGCATGCGTCGTGAAAACACAAGATAGGTTAACGCGACAAGGAAAATAAATACAGCATTTTCGATGATTATGC